ACTGTGTATTCTCTTATTATGGTTTTACCTTTTATTTATTTGTAATTACATTGATACTGGCCTTTCCTTTGTTGCTAAGTTTGGTTAAGAGTTTGTGTATTTTTTATGTTATTTCAAAGAACCAGTCCTTCTATTCATTGATTCATTCTATTGAGGCTTCATTCAGTCTCAATTTCATGTCTGATCTTTGTAATTTTCTTCCTTGTACTGCCCTTGGATTTGTATTACTCTTATTTTCTAGAAACTTTTGGTACATCACTAAATCATTTGTTCGCTTATTTGGGCTACTGTGCTTTTCAACTGTGGGTATTCACAAGTTTAAACATTTTCTTGGGTCTGTTTCCATTGTGTATTATAAGTTCTGGTATGTTGTACTAATATTATGGTTTGATTCTAGAAGCTAATTAATTACTTTATTTTTTCTGAAATCCATTGGTTATTCAAGAGTATATTGTTCAATTTCCATGCATGGGTATATTTCTACAGCATCTTTACCACTGACTTCCCTGCATTACACTATGATCTGGGAGTATGTATAGAGAGTTTCAATTCTGTTGGGTCTGCTTAATTATGGCTCATTAGTGAGTATGGTCTATTTTTTCCCATAATATTTATTTTTTGTATGGTCTATTTTGAAGAATGCTTCATGTGTGCCAAGAAGAATGTTTATTCTGTTGTCATTGGATGTAACACTGTGTAGAGACATCTAGTAAGTCCATTGTTCAAGGGTTTGGTTCAACTCTGATGTTTTTCTGTTGATTTTTTAATTTATTTTTCTTGATTTATTTGTGACACTGGATTATTATGGTGTCCTATAGTAATAGTTCCAATGCTCATCTGACCTTATATATCCAGTGATATTTCTTTTATGAAATTTGTTTCCCAAATGTTTTGTTCAGATATGTTTATAATTGTTGTCTGTTACTGTTGAGTTGATTCTTAAAGTTTCAACCTCTTTTTCTTCTGATTATTTTTGACTTGAAATCCAACTCATCTGCAAATGTGATAACTCTTTTTACTTGATGTTAGGTTCTCATTTCATGGAATGTTAATTTCCATTCTTTGATTTTTTTTAACTTCTCAATTTTCTTTTGGGTTATATGTGTTTTTATATACCTCATATTGTTAGTTTTAATTTCTTGATCCACTCCACAAATCTGTGTCTCTTATCCTTTTGATTCTAAGATTGGATGGCTGAAACAGAGGATTACCTTTTTTCTCATAGTTTTGGAAGACAAAGCCATCAATCAATGTGTGGCAAGTGACAAGTGGCACATTTGGTTTCTGGTGAGGGCTCAACGCTTTTTTGTAAATGGAGTTCTTACTATATATGGATATAGGTTTTTATATTGTCTATGGAGGTAGAGAAAAAAGGGAGAGGGAGGGAGAGAGAGATAGAAATTTAGTCTCTCTTCTGTTCTTATATGCACACAAGTCCTATGGATTTTGGCCATAATTTTGTAAATTCACTTAATATGAATTACTCTAATGCTTTATTGATCCTGTTTCCAAATATGGAGATAGGGAGTTCAGTCTTACCATATGAAAATTGGAGACATTACATAGGTCATAACATAACTGGCACAATCAAAAATATCAGTTTTGTCCAAACATTGTGGCATACACTGTATTTCTAGCTCCTCATGTAGCTGAGGACACAGGATGGCAAATTCAAGCCCATTCTAGCCAACTTTGGAAGACCTATTATTTTCTATACAAATTAAAAAGGCCTAGGTCTACAGCTTGGCAGACAAGCCCTTCCCTACAGCAGGTGCAGCCATTGGTTCAATTCCCAGTCATGGAAAAAAAAAATAAAACCCTAAAGAAAACCCCCCAAATGTGTGAGTGCTTCTCAGGAAGATGAACATTTGACTACTTACACTACACCATGCTCTCTCCTAACCTTATTCTTTTCCTCCCCAACTAGAAAGCATGGGCTACATTAAGGAAGTCATTGAGTATATGAAAAATACCATGTGTCCAGATGATCTTCAGACACTGCTGGTTGATGATAAAGTTTGGAAGATGTTCACGGAGGAAGCTGAATTGTCCAGGTATCTTGCAGGGCACCCCAAGCAATGCCAAGCTGCCCCTCATGGGACTGGATTTCCCTAGGCACACATTTCTTCTCCCAGCAGTTTCCTGGTTGATGGTGAGCCTTCTCAAAAACCGCAGGGGTAAATTTTCTCCCTTGTTCCTTGGCAATGAGTGGTCTCAGGATGACTGGAGTTGATGCTCAGAAAGGACAGGATCACTGCTGGCATCAGCTTGGTATGTGATGTTGCAAGTGACCTTACCACTTTCTGACTTAGTTGCCTCATCCATTGTGTTTTACTGTAAGAAAAACAAGATAAATGCTTAGCTTATGGTGACACACAATGAGTGTGCAAGCAAAGACAAGTTTTAAAAGCCAGCAATTCAATCTAACCGGGGAGATGGCTCAGTAGAATAAGTGCTTGCCTGGCAAGCACAAGGGCCTGAGTTCAATCACCGGTTCTGCCAAATGACAAAGAGGGAGAGAGAGAGAGAGAGAGAGAGAGAGAGAGAGAGAGAGAGAGAGAGAGAGAGAGGCAGTAACTCAAAAGCCAGCATACAGGGGCCATTAAAATGTGGCTAACTGCCAGGTGGTTAAAGCACTTGCTTAGACAGAGGCAGAGACCAGGTTTCAATCCCTGGGGTGCTGTGCTGGCCCTGCCCCTGGGGCATGCTGAGATGGTGATTGAGACTGGGCCTGGTGCAGAAGGATCATTATGAGTCTGATCTGTGTAGTGAGACCCTGTAGACCCTGTACTAAATACACTAAAAATAAATAAATAAAACAATAGCCAGATGGAAGAAAGTAGGGTCAAGAGCCTCCTTCTTTCAGATGTTTTGGTGAGCGAAAACAGTTAAACATGATTGACATGTGTTCCTTGGGATTCCACATAATTCATTTTCTCCTCAGCTGAGGATGTATACAAACACAGCAGGATCTGCCTGCGGCCCCAACGACAAAGAGGCCAGATTGCAGATGAACAGTGAGAAATGGCTGTTTCTACTTGATTCCAGACTCCAGACTTACCTGTGGATACTGAGATTGGCAGCTGTGTGCCAGGACCAGTAATTCAATCTGATAGGACTGTGGTGAAGGCCTGGGAGTGAGCTGTGGGGCAAAGGTAGGGAACTAAGGACCCTTCAGATGGTACCTCTCAAAAGACCTAGAATGATGCACACCAGGGTCAGAGCCAGGGCTCAGGATTGAGGAAGGAGAGTTGACTGGAACAATTTAAGAAGTTCGGGGTCACAGGGTAGGGACCAGTATGAGCCAAAGAGGGGCTAAAAGATGAAAGCACAATGCAGCAATGAGCCCAACAGAAAATGTGGGACTGTGGGATGGGATGTTTTGTCATCCTGCTGTGTCCATCACAGATGATTACAGAGGCTGCTGTGTCTCTGGGTGCTGGCAGCTCTCAGCTCTCATTTTGGATACCCTGCTGCAGTAGTAGCTCTTGTCCATCTGAAAGGCAGGGTGGCTTAGTGATAAGTTCTGAAGCTGAAATAGTTTACACACTATCGGTACATTTCCAGAGAATCTAAGTGGCTCAAAGTCTTTACCCACAAAGAAAATCTTCCCTCTTTCATTAAGGCCAATTTCAGATCCTTTTAGGCTTAGTAGCTCATATAGTTGGGTCCCTCTTTCTCATGAAACTTTGAAGCTGGTCTTGGTGGCACATATCCAAAGCTGTCCCCAAGGTGTTTATCAGGTAGATGACATCTGACAGTCATTGTGAATTTGGGGTTACCAGGTCAGGAGTGGAGTAGGATGTGTCAAGATGCAGTAAGGTAAGTACAGAGTCAGGGTGCAGGCAATGTTAGTAGCCAGGTCTTCTGATTCTATTGTGCTGTGGAAACAATGGGACCCAGCAGCATTTAGTTGGGAAGGCCAAAGGACATCAGGATGGCTCAAGAGCTGATGGCAGAGCACACAAGATGCTCTGACTCTTCAGGTTCTGTGGTTACAGGTTTTCAATTTTAATTTCCAAGAATGAGCCAAACTTCAGAGTCTGAGGGCACAGTCCCTAAGGCCACTCTTACATTTCATATCAATTATATAGAGGGTTGATGACACAAGAGAATTTAGAGAACTCACTCAAAACAGTTATGACACAGAATGTATCACCAAGAAAAGACACAAACAGATGAAAATCAGTTAAACAATAGTTATGTAGGGCACAGCCTAGAGAATTACATACATGAAATTTCTGTTTTCCACAGGACACAATGCTGTCCTGTATTTAATGTGTGACAATTCAGATGGAGAACTGCCATCAGTGAGACTCACCCTGTGCCATAAAACATTATTCTGATACATGTGGAAGCAGTGCAGAAGACTTTAAACAGGAGGATTGTGGCAATGGAAGAGAGAGATTGGATACAGTCAAGATAGCTTGGAAATGTTTTATTTTTATTTTTTAAAGTTGGGTATTTGGTAGAGGTTCTTGATATGTGGCTCAGACTCTTAGGATCCTCCAGATTTTAGGTCCCAAGATCTGGGATTCGAGGCATGTGCTACTAAGCCCAGGCTCAGTGGCTTATTCACCATGCCAAGGGAGGGGACAGCATTGCATGAGGTTCAGGGGACGGAACCCAGATCGTTGCCCTTGCCCAAGCAGGTACTGAGACCTCTGAACTATCTCTCTGGCCCAACAACTGGAAATTTACAACCAAGAAGAAAAGTCAGGGGCAGTAGAGAGCTAACAACTACCGGTACTGTCAAGAGCAGGAGAAATCTGGCAACAAGGTTTCAATGCGGCTTCTCCTAAAGCAGGTCATGGAATACCTCAGCAAAGATCAGGGATGGGGACTTGAGCAGATGTGAGGAACAGGAGCTTCACACTAATCTGAACTGATAGGATTCTTGCCAAGCACAAAGGCACAGGGTAGAAATGGAATTCAGGTCAACAACTATCTGAAAAGGGGCTCTGGAGTTCCTGACTATGTATTGGTTAAGGAAAGAGTTATTTTTAACGCAGTCATTGAAGTTAGAGTTTTGAGGGACTGGATCACACACTGTCTGGAGGACTTCTCCCCAGCCCAGATGTTAGTTGCTTTACTCTCCGGTTTCCCCAAAGGACAGAAGTCATCCCATAGCCACCATCAACATCATCATGTGAAGGCTGAGTATGTTTTCTGAATAGTATTATAGGTTCTAGACTTTTATTTTATTTTATTTTATTTATTTATTTATTTTTTGTTTGTTTGTTTTCCAGTGTGTTCCTCTTTATTCATTTTCCGAGTACAAACTTAAACTTGGATAGGCTGAATTAACCCAACCCACCTCTGGCAGGTACACTCAACATGCTGTATAAAGTATAACATTCAATTTATTATTTCTTTCTCAAGAGAGTTTTCTTCAGTCCATTAAGACTCAGCTCCCCTTACATGGGCTTTGGTGGAGGTCGTGGGGCAGGCAGCACCAGCAGGTCTAAATCAGGGTGGAGGAGTTCGGTCCTTACGGGCTTCACGAGATCGATTTCTGACCACTTTGCTGTGAATGGCACAACTCACACAGTAATGCAGCTTCACGTACAGCTTGGGAAGCACATAACCGTCCAAGACACTCGCTTCGGAAATGTCCCTGACGGCGGCGGCCTCCACTATGTTCCGAATGACAAACTTCTTAATAGCCTTATCCTTGGGTACGCACCGAGCACAGTTAGTGCAGCAAATAGGCTGAACATGACCGCGGCCCTTTTTGGCATGACCGTTGTTCCTTCTTTTTTTCGTCATCTTGGAAAAGAGGACCCGAAAGAGCTAGACTTTTATTTTAAAAGTTTTTGTTGATAAATTATAAGAAATCTTTGGGACAGGCACACATCTAGAGGATGAAATTCATTTATGCCTTTTTGTATAATGTGAAAGAAATTCTATGTAATATTTTTAGCAATCCCATAACTTGACTGTGACCTATCTAATGAACTCATGTATGGCATTTTCTACCTGTGATAACAGGTATGTGTTCAAGTGCTTTCAGAGTTGGTAGCATATTTTAGCTTCGGAATTTTCAAATTAGGATGTCAAACTGTGTGGAACTATAGACAAGGTCTACACAGTCAAACAGTCTTTCAAGCAGGGAGAAGACTCTAAGTTCCTACAGATCCCTGCCAGCAATAAGGGAAAAGGCCAACAGCCTCAAGTCAGATTAATTTTTCACTACATGCTAAGTGTTTCTGAATTAAGCCTTCCCTTGCTTAATCCATCTGCAGAGCCCCTATTCTACATACAACTTGGTAGTTAACCTGAAGAGAGAAAGCATCTCATCAAACATCTGCCTCTAAAAAGCATCTTAGTATAACTTTACTTAACAGCCCTTGAATTCACCAAGAACCACCACACAGTTCATCTGTGATGTGCCAAACATGGTCACTGGTGAAAATTCCTCACATCTGGAAAATTGATTTCCATTTAATTTATGGTACAACCCCAATAAACTATGCAGAAGAGTGCCTGCTGAGTACACATTTTTTTTATTTGAGATTCTTTTTTTTTTCAAAGTTTTATTGATAAACAGATAGCAATGAGACAGTTTCAAATCAAATCAGAAGTATAGTTTCAACAAATATTACACTGCATAAAAAGCTGGGTACATTTATTTATTTTTATTAATTTTTTATTTTTTAGTGCAACCGGGGATTGAACTCAGGCCCTTGAGCTTGCCAGGGAAGCGTTTATTCCACTGAGCCATCTCCCCAGTCCTGCTGAGTACACTTGATGGATAAAATGCCTTTCTTTCTTTTTTTCTTTCTTTCTGTCATTCATTCATTCTTTCTTTTTTACCATTTCACATAATTTTATATAATCAAATGTTCTCAGGAAAAGCAACACATGTGCAGAGCTCCCAAAGTACCAGACAGGTGGCCCCTCACACTTCTTTTCTGCAGCGGAATAACTGAACAGAGAATGGGAAAAGTGATTCTAGTTTGTTCTTAAATATGTCCCCCTATATGTTAAGATTTTCAAATGGAATTTTTATTCTTTGTTGGTATTTTTCATTTATTCTAATGTGGAAATCAGGCTTTTCAGTTCAGCTTTGACTTTATTTGCAACTTCTTGGTCAGTACTCTGTAGAAGGCTGGAAAGTATAATCACCCCAATTTATGCTGACCCAGGACTTCAGGTTCATCATGCCAACATGCTCTACGAGGATTTTCACAAAACAACCTTCTTTTCCATCTTCTTTCATCTTTTCATCTTGCTCTATTAGCCATTTCAAAATGAGGTATCCTGCAGGATGTTTTGCCACATGAAGCTTTCCATCCTGGCCCCCAGGGTGCAGTTCTGCTGGTGCGAGGCTGGCGATGGCATCCATGGCAGGCTGAGGGTCTCCAGGGGCAGATCCCAGGATGTCAGACACCAGCACACATGCAGATTTATCGAGCACCATCTCTTGAGTATTTCTTTGTAGTTAGCTTAACAAAGCTGGAGAAATAGATTCTAAGAACTCGTGGTGGCAGATCTATGTCTTTCTTACTGTGTGTATTTCAGTCTCCATTTTGCAGAACTTCAGTGATCTCTCATACTGTATGCACAAAGTCTCTGGGGCTCAATAAATACAACAAGAACTTCCTCCCAAATTTGTCATTTACTATGATAGACAAGGAGCTAATAATTTCTGATATGATCATCTGCTTCATTAACTTAGTATCATCAATACAATCAAATGCCACCAGCAAAACCAAATGAGAGTATTGGCCATCAGCCACGTATTCGACATAAGTCTTCACTGTTTCCACAATTACCTTTCTGTCTTTAGGTGTGCCATGCCACAGGCAGTACATGGCCACTTGGGCACCATCATGTGTGTGGGTCAGGTACACCACTGCCTCATGGTTGGCTTTGATCAATTCTGATCTGAGTTTTGGGGTTGCATAGATAAAGAGAATACTTTATGGACTAAGTGCTTAACCATGGCTTCCTTTTGAGCCATTAGAGTTAGAATCTGCTTCATCTCATCCATAATCAACTCTAATTTTTCAGGATGTACCTCTAACCCTTGTCCAGAGTTGGGAGTTTTGCAGACTCATAAAGCTGAAGCATGTTCCCATAGAGCTCCTCAGTCAGCATGTTCCTCTGCTCCAGAATGGCCTTGTACACATATGCATGATGGCCAAGGTTACCACAGGTTGCAACATCTTCCTCGCATGGCCTTTAAAACTTCTGATTATCTCTGCAATCTGTGGTTCACTTCCATACATGAGAAATTCCTTCACAATATATCTGGAATATTTGGCTTTCCTGAATTCAACCAAATCATCTTGCCATTCTTCAAAAGCCTGTTTTCTCTGTTCTTTATCACCATACTGAGTACAGCACTCGATCACATGAGTGGAACTGTGTGCAAATGCAATAGTTTTAATTTTCCTTTGAATCAACTTCTCCACTTCACTCATCAGCTTCACTCATTTTTCTTTGTCACAATCCTTTCTTCTTATAATCTCCCAAATCTGTTTTGCTCGAACAACAATATCATAGTTGGTTTAGGCACTGAGCTGCCTGCTCGGCTTTACTTCTTTATTCCTCCTTTTGAAGTCATCCTATTTTGGTTTCTTGGATGCTGATTCATCACTTTTCCCATCAGGCTGGAATTTTCTCTCCTTGTTGAATTTATTTGTTTGCTTGAATTTGCTCTTTGGCCCTTTGTCCCCTCGTTGCTTGTTCTTGAATTATTTCACACACTTTCCCCAAGGTTTTGCAGTACTTTTCTCAAATTTCAAGTAACCTCAGGTCCCCTCTCCTTAACAACCTTTTGGGGAATATTTTGAGGAACTAGAATCACTGTTTTTCTGAAATTTGCTTTTTCCTTGTGGAGCCTTTATGCTCCTTCCTGTGAGCTTTTTTCCCCTTTACTTCGGTCAAAGCAACTCCCACACATGAGGCAGACACACTAAAAGGCCTTTCTTAACCCCAGACCTGTACCATTGCAGGGATGAAGCAAAGGAGCTGCATGATTACTTCAAGCAACATAGAGCAAATGAAACAGCAGAAGACAAAATAATGCTCCAGGAAGACAACCTGGCTAGGAAGAAGTTTTTGGAAGTGTTTCCGAAGGTGAAAGCAGAAATTGAGTCATGTATTCAGAAACTTCGCGCCCTTGCCGAAAGGGTTGACAAGGTGCACAAAGATTGCACCATCTCCAATGTGGTGACCAGCTCCGTTGGTGCCTTCTCTGGAGTCTTGAGCATCTTTGGCTTGCTTCTAGCACCCTTCACAGCAGGAAGCAGTCTCCTGCTCTCAGCAGCAGGGTCAGGGCTGGGAGCAGCAACAGCTGTATCTGATATTACCACTACTGCCATAGAACACTCAGACACATCCTCAGCTGAAGCAGAAGCCCAAAGCATCCTGTCAGCCAGTGAGGACAACATGAAGATTTTGCTAGAGGCTGAAAGTGAGCCACTATTCAAATATATTATAAAACGTGTGACATTCAGAAGGAACATGAAAGCCATGGTGAGTAACATCATCGCACTCAGGAGAGCTCTAGCAGATCCAGCGTTAGCACGAGATGCCATGCGCTTCACAAGCACTGGGGGACTCTCAGCCCGCAGGACTCAGCAGGTAAAGCGGGCATTTCAATGCACAGCCCTATCAATGACCAAAACAGCCCGGCTAGGAGCTGCAGGTGTAAGAAGTTTATTCCTTGGGCTTGATGTGTACAACATTGTGAAAGATTCACAGCATTTGCAAGAGGGGGCAAAGGCACCACTAGCTGAAGAGCTGCGGCGGAAGGCTCAGGAGCTGGAGGAGGAGTTGGAGGAGCTCAACCAGGTCCTAGCACTTTGTAGTTAAGTCTCACTCAGTCCCACAAGTGATACATCGGTAAGACCACATGTTAGGGACAGAGGCAGATGCACACATTGTACTAGAAAGACCAAAGGGATGAGATGAAGACCATGCACCTGAGCATTAAGGAGTTTGCCATTTTTGTTAAGTGGCCACAGCAAAGGAGGGATTAACACAGATTATAGTTTGGCTAAGAGAAGGCAAGATGCAAGGAGCTTTCCACAGGAGAAAATGAATATACATAGTTCACCACATAAAAAAGAGCAAGGATAAAATCATGTCATCTCAATTCAGGCAGAAAAAGTCTTCACACAATTCTGCATCCATTCATGGTGAAAGCCCTAAAGAACTAGGAATTATAGGATTAATTACAGGATTATTAATTAATTATAGGATCTCAACCTAATAGAGTATATTTTCCATAAGCCCATAGATAGCATCATAGTGAATGCAGAAAAGCTGGAAGAATTTACTTTAAAATCAGGAACCAGGTGAAGTGTTTGAAATGTTATACAGAGCAATTAGTCAAGAGAAATAAAAATAATATACATAAAAAAGGAGAAATAAAATATTCCATATTTACAGATGATATAAGCTTGTATTTGGAAGATTTTAAGACTCCATCAAAAGACCTTTACATTTGATAAACAAGCTCAACAAACAGTAGGACACACTACCAACTTGAGAAAAATCAAACACTATCTAAAAGCCTGAATTATCTAGCTGAGAAACCAATCAGGAAAACAAACACATTCACAGCATCATCCAAAGAAATGAAAGCTGATGTCGGGAAATTAACCTAATCAAGATGAAAGACTTCCAATGAAAAAGTTAGAAAACACTGAAGATAAAGAAGGATGAAGACACTAGAGATTAGAATGACTTCCCCATGTTTGATGGAATCAAGGCCATCCCTCAGTTCTTTATCAGCTATGAAAGACAAATTGTGCTGTTGGTAGTCATGGTGCAGAATAAAGGATGGTGGGAAGATTGGAAGCCAGGAGCTTCCAGCACACCCGGGATCCACGGAAAGACAAGGCTAGCGACTCTAGGAGTCACCTCTCCTGTGCTTGATCAGTGTGCAAGCCTGGGTTCAAATTTGCAGCCGGTGGCCATTTCTCCCGAGATATGGAGGAATCATTCCTAGACAATCAGGGAAAATGCTCGAGCAACAACTTTACGAGCCCGGATCGTGTGTGCAGTCCATGGTCTGTCTCATGGACTGATCCACCTCGTGCAAAAGTCAGTGTATCTGGGCCCAAGAAGCAGTGCAGAGGTCACAGGACGCGTGCTGTCCAGGGCATGGAAAGTTGGGGACATTTTATGAGGGGAAAAAGGAGCTGTTTCTGAGTCACTTGTAGGAAAATGGATGCGATTTGAGATCATGCTATGCAGTGACATAAACTAGACATATAAGTTTAAATATCTCACAAGAGAAAACTGAAATGCAAATAAAGAGCAAAATAAAAGTTAGTGAGAAGTAGGAAAATTGGCATTTTGCAAGTGGGAAGGGAACTGAGAAATCGTTTAAGGGAAGGTAAACAAGGTAATTTTTTGCCTTCTCCTGTTTAAGGGAAGCAGGAGATGAGAAAAAATTAAGACATTATGCATATGTGATTTTCCCCTGAAGAATGTAATCATTATGTACTGCAAACAAGAACTGTACTAATAAAGAGAAAAACTGAAATAGAAGAAAACAAGTTATTATTATTTAGATCTAAAATGTCGCTCAGAAATCTCATGTGTCCAGAGATGGGGATTGGGGAAAGCAAAGGGATCATGGTGGAACTATGCTCGTCAACTGATCAATCTGTGGGTGGTTTATGGATGAACATCCTGTGAGACCTGAGCAGAGAAGGGGAGGGGTGATTGTGGGCGGGTGGGACCTGAAAGGGGTTCTTCTTTTTATTTTTTATTTTAAAGAGATAAAAACAAAACAGGCAACAGGACGAAAAATAAAGCAACATTCAACAACCAATATGGTACATAATTTCGAAACAAGAGTAGAAAGTGAACAGTGGTTGTTGTATTGCATATTCTTATCATCAAATTTGTTGCTGAGATTACCAGATATAGGCAGGCAAGAGT